CGAGGTCCGAGCCGGAGAGGATACAGTCTGCATGGAAAGAGACGTGGCCAGGGGAGACTCGGATGCTGGTGAAGCTGTTTTGGTCACTTCTGCTGAGGTCAGCTCAGCCTTCGTGGGAGAAACCTTGCTGAAGGTTGGCGCTGTTTGATTTTCAAGAGACGTGAAGCCAGTCTCCACAGTGGAATGCGGCCTCATCGGGATGGATCCGGTCACCTCAATAGTCGAGGTTCTCAGCTGAGCAGCCGTAGGAGATGTTGCCGAAGAGAGGGAAGGGCTGGTCCCCTCAGCTGCTGTTGATTCGACCCTGGCTGGAGGACTGGCAGACCGGAAGGAGACGGTGGTTTCCTCGGTAAGGGCAATGGAAGAGTGGTCAGTAGAAGGGGAAAAAGTTGGCGTAGAAACGGTGGTGCCTCGGGCAGAGCTCACCTCCGGTTTCGTTGTGGAAGAGCCAGAAGGCAGGGGTTGAGTTGTCTCCTGCCGTGAGGTTCCTTTCGGCTGCATGGAAGAAGAGGGGGCGATGGAGGGACTGATTTGTTCCTGGGCGGAGGTTAGCTCAGTCATGCCAACAGCAGCGGTCGTGGTGACAATAGAGGCCACTGACTTTGCGGAGGACATGGTTTCTGGGACTGCAGTGCTTGATTGTGCCGAATGGAGCGAAGAGGTGGTGCTTCCTTCAGTTGGGGTGGACTCTGCATGAATAGAACTCGTGCCGTGGGATGCAATGATGGTCTCCGAGGGAGACGATGGCGGCGAGGTCCGAGCCGGAGAGGATACAGTCTGCATGGAAAGAGATGTGGCCAGGGGAGACTCGGATGCTAGTGAAGCTGTTTTGGTCACTTCTGCTGAGGTCAGCTCAGCCTTCGTGGGAGAAACCTTGCTGAAGGTTGGCGCTGTTTGATTTTCAAGAGACGTGAAGCCAGTCTCCACAGTGGAATGCGGCCTCATTGGGGTGGATCCGGTCACCTCAATAGTCGAGGTTCTCAGCTGTGTAGCCGTAGGAGAAGATGCCGAAGAGAGGGAAGAGCTGGTCCCCTCAGCTGCTGTTGATTCGACCCTGGCTGGAGAACTGGCAGACCGGAAGGAGACGGTGGTTTCCTCGGTAAGGGCAATGGAAGAGTGGTCAGTGGAAGGGGAAAAAGTTGGCGTAGAAACGGTGGTGCCTCGGGCAGAGCTCACCTCCGGTTTCGTTGTGGAAGAGCCAGAAGGCGGGGGTTGAGTTGTT